CCCAGCTAACCGATCACAGCACGCACTGGCCCAGCTAACCGATCACAGCACGCACTGGCCCAGCTAACCGATCACAGCACGCACTGGCCCAGCTAACCGATCACAGCACGCACTGGCCCAGCTAACCGATCACAGCACGCACTGGCCCAGCTAACCGATCACAGCACGCACTGGCCCAGCTAACCGATCACAGCACGCACTGGCCCAGCTAACCGATCACAGCACGCACTGGCCCAGCTAACCGATCACAGCACGCACTGGCCCAGCTAACCGATCACAGCACGCACTGGCCCAGCTAACCGATCACAACACTCACCTGGCCCAGCTAACCGATCACAGCACATATCGTATTTCAGAAGGCGGACCTTCATTTGATGCAGGAACTATTCGAGACGTTCATGCTAGACTGGGGAGAGAGGTGTTGTAATAATGTAAAATATGTGAAAAATAATGTGTTTCTCAAACAACCTAGTATGAGAGCCTGTTCTGGTACACCTCCAAAACAAAATCAAGACTTTGTAAAAGAGCATAATAGGACCCCTTTAATAGATCACAGTTTATTGTATCTCGTCATATCTGCTCAACATGCTCACTCAACAGTTTTTTTTTACCAGGAAAAAAAAAACTGAAATGAAACCGAAATCATTTTATAAGAATTTATTCAGATATGAAACTGATTTTACAGACAGCTGTTAAAAATATCAAAGTACATCAAACTGTTAATACGTCAAGTCTTTATATGTGCTAGTCATTAAGAATATTAAAAGTTATATAATAGCTAAATAAACTATTACATATTTAATTTTTATTTAAAGCTATTATGTTTTATTTAATTTCATTCATATAAGTTTTGTAAGTATATAATTGCTTTCAATATTTATTTATTATTATTCATTTATTTTGTAATTATTATTGTAATTGTTTTGATTATTTATTAAACTTAAATAATATTACATTTTCATTTGAAAGAATTTGCCTTTATTAAAAATTCCAGTAATAATAAATGTTTAAAAAAATAATTTATTTTGTTTATTTATGATCTTATTTTTTGTTTGTATATTGTCCATTTATCAGTATGGCATATATACCTAGATATTTTTTTTCTAGGCACAATTTTGCAGTGACCGAACTAATTGCTAGAAATGACTGACAGTTGAATGACCCTCGTCTGTCGAGAGAGTTCAGTGCACTTTTGATTTACAGCCTGTAAGGAACATTTGAAAGCAAGTGACATACTCTGTAACCAGTTGCGTCAGGTGTTTGCAAACATCGAACCCGTCTCTCTAACCCAGGGGTGCCCAAACTCGGTCCTGGGCCCTCCTGAAATTCTTCAGGGCCCTCCGGTGTCCTGAAGAATTTAGCTCCAACCCCAGTTAAACACACCTGGACCAGCTAATCAAGCTCTTACTAGGCATACTAGAAACTTGAAGGCAGGTGTGTTGAGGCAAGTTGGAGCTAAACTCTGCGGGACACCGGCCCTCAAGGACCGAATTTGGGCACCCCTGCTCTAACCTGTATTTCTCCCAAGATATTAAACACCTGTTAGAAGTGCTTAAGATTAAACCATGGATGAGATCTACTGCACTAAAATGGCACTATCAAGGTGTTTATCAAGGTGTGATTACGTTCTAATTGCTTAAGAAAAAGTTGCTCGACAGGTAGTGCAACATTTGTTCACAAAGCGGCCCGTCAGGTTTGATGTAAAATGGCAACCCTTTCCTCCGCATGACCGAGCATGCATTGAGTCGCACCGATACTACAGCAGCGACCGCAGAAGAAGATGACTCAGATGGGAAACCGATCACTAAATCTAGCGTTCAAGTCTCGACTTGACAGTACGGCCTGCAGGCTACCATGGGGCTTTATTCCACCCTGTCTGTTCTTCCTCTACATCATGCCTGAGCGCAGGATGAAGGCACTTCCTGTGAATGACTGTGTCGCTGTGATGATGCAGCAGCAGATGGTGGGAGTGGGTCTGTGTAACCAGGACAGCCACTGCCCCACTTTCTCATGTTCTCTCTGTGTGTGTGTGTGTGTGTGTGTGTGTGTGTGTTTGAGAGAGAGAGAGAGAGAGAGAGAGAGAGTGGCATGTGAAGCATGTAAGGAGTGCCGTGAAGTCTATCATCTCCTCCAGGGGCAGGTCGGGTCACACTGCTGTTTCTAGCCTACATGTGGAAATGTTGATCTTTCTCATTCTGGATTTAATCACAGATGACATCCAGAGACTTTATTTTACCCAGAATGCTAAGAATGTGTCAAAGGAATAATTGATTTACTCATCAGTATGCTGTTCCAAACCCTTATGACTTTTTAAAAAGTGGAACATGAATGGAGAAGTTTGGCAGAATGGCATTTTCTACTTTCTATGTAGACCGTGACTAATGGCTGTCAAACTCCAAAAAGCACAATATACATGATCAACATGTCAAAATTAGAGATGCACCGATCGATCGGCCAGGGATCGGAATCGGCATCGGCCGATTTTCCTCATGATCGGCCCGGATCGGTGATCGGACCTATCAGTCTCACTTCTTTCGGATTTCGAGCCGATCCATTTTGTTACCAGCGGCACAGGCAATAACGTCAGCCACGCATTCTCGCTCTCTTCTCTCCGACGACCTCTTCTCTCTCACACGCGTCTCATTCGCTCCGGTTAAATAGTGCTTGTATTGCGCTTTATAGTAATTCCCGCAGGTTTTGCGCTTACACCAAATTCGCACGTGCACCACCACTGATCTATATTATGGCGCTTTTTCACTGCGTGGTACGGCTCGGTATGGTTCACTTTTTGGGGGTTTTCCACTGGGTACAGTACCTGGTACCTGGTAGTTTTTTTTAGTACCACCTCGATTGGGGTTCCAAGTGAACCGTACCGTTACCAAAACGTGACGTGTAAACTCTGCGGATCACGGATTGGCCGGAGAGAATCGTCACTACCTGCGTCACTGAACTTGCTACACAAACACAAAAGAACCGCTAGATTTAAATTAGCACAGCCAGCGAAGGATCGAACGCAACTGTTTTGAATGAGCGCACCTTTTTTTAACAACCAAAAAGTATTGTTGTCTGTTGCCTGAACTTGCGACACAAACACAACAGAACCGCTAGATTTAAATCAGCACAGCCAGCGAAGGATCGAACGCAACGGTTTTGAACGAGCACACCTTTTTTTAACAGCCAAAAAGTATTGTTGTCTGTTGCGGAAGAAAAGACGTTCCTCTCGTTGATAGCTCCTGATCCAGCGAGAGCTTGATGGGGCGACGCGGAATGAAAACGTTTTTTTTAGGAGTCGTGGTAGTAGAGGCGGCGCAACTATAATGACGTGAATAATCCCGCCCACTCTAAAGCGGTACTGAACTGCAGTGGAAACGCAAACCGTGCCGTGCTGTACTGAGCCGTGCCGAGTCATACCACGCAGTGGAAAAGCGCCATTAGTGGAGTGCACAATCCGCGCTCAGTCTTAAACAGTTTATGAGCCACAAATACCAAAATGAGTGGCTAACTGCGCTAAAAAAAAG